TTTAAGTTCCTTTGTGATATTTTTAGAGCATAGATAGCACATGAATAAAGTGAATAAATTGATTTACTTCCCAAGTCAATTCTTACCATTGAAGAAATTAATTATTCATTGCACATGTAGTTGTGTTTTTAGTCATCCCATAGCACCATCAAATTCCAATTAGTTTTGATCCAGTCAGAACCTATTCTGATTTTGAAAAACAAATGCAAATTTCACTTTAAAAATTGTCCATTTATCTCATTTATGAACTATAGAATAATTTGTTTTGAATTATATAATAATCCAAAATCATAGTTACAAAATAGTTATATTATCCCGAAGTACTTTACTCAAAAGAAAATTAGACATTGAAATTTTCAAATACTTCCAAATTACAGTGGTCATCATAAATATTTGGAATTTTGATATAGTGAATAAATAGAATAATAAAAAATTCTCAAAATTGCCTGATAATTTAGACACATCCTCTTTATAACCTGTAAAATAAGTTTGATTAAAATATATTACGGAATTATTATTAATTATTATTGCATTCTTTTTCGCCTTCCTCTAAATATAATGCATCCAAAATTAATTGATTTTGAGGGTGCTGGTAAGTTGAGAGATATTCGATCATTTCGGATTTGTTTGAATTGGTAGTTTGTAGAAATTTTCTTATGACGAGATGCATTTCAATAAAAAATGTTTCAGTTTCAAGGTCTGTAAGAAGTGCTTTGACTGCTTAACCATTAAAGCTAAATTTTCTATGAAGAAACTTGAACTTTATTCTGATAAAAGATTCCCAAATATGAATATAAATTTGCACGTTATGCTTTATCACGTAGTATTCAGGAACCTTACTAAAAACACAACCATCTTACAACAAGTTACAAGAATTACATGTATTTATAAAGAGTATTTCTCTATCACTTATAGGTGTCAAAAGCATAATCTAGATCATTTCACACTGTCTTTTGATTAAATTAAAGGATTGCGTTCAGCCTCAAATTCAACACAAACAATGTATTACAGTTTCTTCATGCTTAACATAATCAATCTCAGCAATTGAGAAAATAGAAAGAGGATTTTTGAATTTTCTCTTAGATATAAACATAAAATTTCAGGAATCATTATATTTGGTACAGTGGTCATCATAAAGATTCGGAATTTAAAATTTGTATATCAATTGTATGACAAAGAATGAATAGAATTTCGTAAAAATTTTCAAATATATGTTTTTGATATGAAGAACAAAGCTACTAAGACATATTGTTATAATATCTTATTAAAAATAAAATACCATAAAATCCTTACAAATTTTCAAAAAAAAGTTAGCAGAGTTAAACGATCCATTTGCACAACACATGCTTGGAGATTATTATTCCAGTAAATCGTACAATCCAGACTCAGACAAAGAGCAGCAAGTCAACATCTTCCACCGTCTTATTTTACTTTATCAGATATTCGAGTGACATATCCCGATATATTAAAGTCTACAGATCTATTTAACATTTATGTCATTATCCAAGGATTGCTGAGTGCAGGCACACAATGTGACAACTGATTGACATTTGTATTGTCAACTAAGTAGTTATACATGAACAAAAAATGACTACGCGTGTTCTCTATCACTTGAATGCTAAGAATGAGTCAAGCAATGTCAAATTAGCAATCTATTTTTCCTTTAGTAATGATATCTTTCGAGCACTGATTTCTTTAAAAATCTTTGATTGTAATTTCTAATTCTAAATGTGCAATGATTTCATCATAGATTGATCAGATATATTGTTTGAGATGAGATCGTGTCTTCTGAAATCTATGAATGTAAGGAGGGATGAAGGTAATCTGCGATTTTTTTCTATTACACACTTTTACCTCACCTATATAATATCTATCCTATTATACGTCAGATGAAGTAATCTTGCAATAATATCATCTAGAGTGTGCAAAGTAACGTCACTCTTTAACAGAACTAGGATCAAATTTCATTTGTTTCACACTTTGAGATGAGGGCAACTTTCGATTTTATATTTTATATTACCGATGTTGCCTTCATATGTACTTGTATATCGAGCTCATGATCTTTCATGTTTAATTTGATGCATTACAAAAATAAATTAGCATTTAAATGTTATAAAAAATTGCTATCGTTTAATTAATAAGTATTTTGAAGAAGTAATATACATTTTACCTATTATTTAATAAATATAAGAGCTGTGGATATCAGATCTTATCAACAATTCATGAGGCCAACATATTGACAAGTATAGCTATTCTTTTTTGTTTGGACTTTTGATTGATGATAAAAAATTAAGTTTGTAAGTCTTGTGTCATGACACTTAATTGTTTGATCAACCGCAAGTCAGAAATTCGCATATCATGGAATTTTGAGACAAAACGGAATAAAACGCAATAAATCGGTATAAAAGGGAATTTTTATAAAAAGCTGTGCGCAGAAATAAGTCACCGACTACGTGACACCGATCAATTTTAATGCAAAGTTATTAAATTCAAATAACACGATAATTATTGCACAAAATTTAATAAATTTTTTCATTTAAAAGATAAAGACTACAACTTTTAATTAATACTTTGTTGGATGACCTTTGCTTTTTATAACAGCAGCAACTCAATAGGGCATGCTATTAACAAGATTTTGATATTTATTAATATCTATATTTAACCATTCTTCTTGAAGTATTTTCCATAAATCTTTCCTATTTTTTGATAATGGGATGTGTACCCAAACTCGCCTCTCTAGTTCATCCTATAAATATTCAATTTGATTCAGATCCAGGCTCTGTGCAGGCCATGGAATACTATCAATCTCATTTTCTTCTTTCCAACTTTTAACTATGCTTGCAATGTGTATGAATACATTGTCTTCTTGAAATAACTAATTTTCTCAATCATTCAAGTCATCTAGAAATGTAAACAAGAAATTTTTTAATATATTTATATACTGTGGCTATTACTTTTCCATCTAATTTTACTAATGGATCAAGATTATATTTCATGAAGTATTTTCATATTATTACCTCTTGTTAATCTGACTTTACAGTAGGGAATTAAATAATTCATATCATATATACTTTTCATAAGGCCATTTCCAAATCAATCTTTTATCATTTTCTTTGAATAATTAAAACTAGAATTTATTACTTCAGATTATATTTTTTTCATTTATCTATCCATTTTTCTAGTTTAGATAAGCCTTTTTATCCTGTTTTTCTCATTTATAAATGATTTTTTAATATCAACTTGACTATAAAAATCTTGTTTATAAAGATACTTAAAGTTTTTTTACAGATATTTTTTGTAATTGAATTGATAAAATCTTTATATAGTTCTTTAAGATTTAATTTTTTAAGAATATTTATTAAATACTAATATTTTTTTCAGTTATTATTAATAATTGCCAGTTTTAAAAAGTGAAACCTTGTATTTATAGTCTTTATAACTAGAAATAATATTATAAATAGTAATTTGAAAATGGTTTAAAGCTTTAATAATCTTTTTTTTTTAAAACTATATTTTTAGATTTTAATAATTTCTCACATTCAAAAATAGAAAATTCTTTTTTTATTAATCATATCTTATATAGAAGAATCTTGACAATATATAACAAAAAACTAGAGATTTATAATAAAATAATTAATATAATAAATTTTAAAAGTATGATTAGTAATTATATAATTAATAACTTTTTTTCACATATTATATATATACTTTTCAGTTAAAAGTATTTGATTACTTTAAAACTAAATAAAAATATATAAACTTCAATAATTAATTTTTTGACAATTTACAAACAAATATTATATCATTTTATTTAGAAAAATATGAATTTTATTAATATTTAGTTAGATTTTTATAATTATCTAATATTACTTGAATCCATCTTGATAAACTTTCAACTAAATTTGTTAAAATTTCAGGCTCAATTTTATTTCACTCCTTCTTCAAAACTATTATTAATTTCATAATATTTTTTGGATGAGATTTATATTTCCTAATTCTTCTTTTCAAAATATCTCATAAATATTTAATTAAATTAAGATCTAGATTCTATACAGATTATAAAAGACTTAATATCAAATTATTCTCTTTCTATTAATTAATTATTCTTATCTTATATATTAGAATATTATCTTTTTGAAAATTATATTATAAATTATTTTCTAAACTATTATAAAAGAATAAAAAAGTATTTTCTAATATATCTATATATATATAAAATTCTGTTATTCTATCTGAAACTTGAATTAAAGAACTAATTTTATCTTTTTTCATATTATAATCTCTTGATTTCCAGATTTTACAGTTAGAATTAAGCAACTTACATTATATTTTTTATATAATCTATATTAAATTCAATAATATATATCATTTTAAAATAACATAAGCAAGATTCATCACTCCAAATAATAGAAATTCATTTATCATTTCAATTTCTTTTTTTATAACACTATTCTAGTCTTTTTTTATGATTTTGTTCAGAAATAAATGATTTTTCTTTCCAGCTCATCCATAAAATCTCTCAATATGTAAAATATGCTTTATAATACTAGAAAATTTGATAAAGCTCACTAAATTTTTTGTCATTTTCTCTAGTAATTATTCCAATCTTTCTTACCTAATTTTACAAGACTTCTAATTTCTCTTTCTGAGTTTTGATAACCTTTCTGAACACAGAGTATCTGTAATATTTCCTGAATTTTTATATTTTGTTATAGTATCATGAATAGTGATTTTAGAATGTTCAAGAATTTTTCCAATATTTCATTCACTATGATTTTCTTTCCAGAGACCTATAATCTCTTCTCATTCAAACTCAGCAAGTTCATATCTTTTGAACATTGTAAAATTTTTTTATTTTCAGATAGCTGAAGTCAAGAGCTGCATGGAAAAAATATTTTATTTATTTATGCTTAATATTTTTGACGTAATCTTATTTTAAAAGATAATGATCTGTAATCTTAAATCAGATGGTCGGAGACTTTTGACCGGGAAGTGTAATATTATCGTAATTCTCCGTCCTGCACGTGTATGCCTATTTGCAGATCATACCATGCTATAGAGTTTATTGTAGTAGTTCTATATACATGTACATTTACATGTATACGTAGCTTTTTGGAACATACCACACTCATGATTTTCCGACTATACTATACTTCTTTCGAAACCCATGCCGTACGTTTTATTTGAAAACTAACGCTAACGCAAAATATGTACTCTTAAAACTTTTGGATATTCATGTACGCGATATTATTCTCAATCTAATTTTTTTCGCTAAACTGTGTGAATCAAATAATTGCTTTTACTTGAATTTGCTGTCAATGCATTTTTCTAGAAAATAATAGAAAAGCTAAATCAAATTTCTTTTCAAGTGAAAAGTTTACAGTACTTTCTTGCGTATAAATTGTTGATTTCTACCGATACACTTCATCATTCATATTGTATTTGTTTTTTTAACGTTAAAAGATAAAATATTCAATCATAGTACATGGAATACAATCGACTTTTCTTTTCAATCCCTGCACTATTTCCTGTTCAAACTATTATCATTATCATCATCATTATCTTCTTTATTTTCTCCATCTTGCACACTTTCTCGTTCTTCTTCGTTCTCAATTTCATCAGCATCCTCGTCAAACTCTTCTTCAAATTCCAATCCTACTCCGTCTCCCTCCTCATCGCTACTACCTTCGGAGAACAAATCTTCATCCTCATAAAATTTTGAGTGCTTTCGTCCGTAATCTTCATATATATCGTCTGCAGCTTTTTGTTTTTTAGAGATTTGAGCACTAGTGATTGTTGTCGTATCACTTGTTTGGCTCTCATCAGACTGTTCAAGGCGTTGACTTATTCTTTGGTCGTCTAATACGAGATTATTGTATTCGATTTCGACAAAACTATCGAATTCACTGTTTCAACCATTTTTTCATTTCGTAAATATTGAAGTAAAATCAAAGAATTCTAAATATTAAGAAAAAATTTCAAAATATAAGTTACCTCATACGTTCAATCTCTGAAGCGCTGTTCGCATCTTCTGCACACTGTCCCAAAATCTGCTGACGTATACGCCACTGTTGTTGATTATGATCAAAAGCAATAAACTTTGACAAATTGATGAACATGTCAAAGAATGGTGGCGCATTTTGACGACACCGCTTTAGATCTCGCAATGTAATAATTCCTTCTTTTGCTGGCTTGATCATGTCGTACCTACGTTAAATAAAATTAGAGGTGCATTGTATATAAAAAATAATTCCCATGTACCTACATTTGACAAATACAATCTTCAAATTTTATTGGCTCCATTTGCAGAATTCGCATTCTATTTGATTGTTCCTAATAATTTTTAATTAACTAATAGATTAATTCTAAAATGAATCGAGAATCCTGAAAACAATTCAAAAAACAATTATAATCACGCACTTCGAAAAAGTAATCCAATTCGTATGTACTTAATACTCCATCCCCATCAAGATCCAAACAGCGGAACCAATATTCAATAGCTGTTGGTGTACTTTTATCAATCTCGGATAAAAAGAACCCTATAAAAACCTCAAATTTAAAAAGATTGAATCGAACAAACAATCTTATAAAATTTATCCAGAACTTACATATGAAATCTCGATAACTCATTTGTCTCTGCTCCTCCGAGAGCCCTTCGACAACCGGTAAATCACTAGCTTTCCCCCATCCATTAATAATTCGTGACACAATTCTTTCTGATAACGCGTAATTTCCATAAGTGGCCAATTCCTTTTCATTAATTTGTAAATCATGATTACTATCCAGTTCCCAAAAGTTAATATATATCACATAAAAATGCTTGTATGAAAAATAATCATGTGTCTAAAGTAAAGACAGAAAGCAAGAATTCACATCATTATTAATATCTATCATTAAAACTAGCAGAGACCAACAATATACTCACATGACTCATATCATTTCTTGTTTCTAATTTTCTCAGCATATCACCGAAATTTATTCGTCGAAATTCTTTAAATGTCATCTTGTTTGACCAATTACGATTATATTCGTAGAAAAGACGACAAATTACAGTTTCAACTAAATATTAGAAAAATTGTTACTTAAAATCCATCAAAAAATTAAAACTCTATATAAAAGCTTACTATATCGATCCTGAAATACATTATTATTTTCAAGAAATGCCAAACCGGGATGATTAAGAACAACGTCTGTCATTTTATTGATAAATTAACATAAAGTTACATTCAAGCTGAATACTAATGAGCTAATAATTAGTTTTGAACTGTACCTTCAAGAACAGTATTAAAATCATCCGGAATCAAATATCCACCCTCTTCACTTTTGAGAATATTAAATATTAAAGAGTTTTCATCTGTTGAATTTGCTATTAGTTGTTGCAAACCTCTTTAGAAATATATCAACAAAATTAATATACGTGAACATGGAAAATAAATAAAAAATAAAATAAATTGCGCACTTTTCAAATTGCATAAAAGTGACATGTCCAGAAACATCTCCGAGCTCATCGATTTTTGTGAATAATGCTTGATTCATATATCTTGGCAAATTACATGCTTTCGTTATCGGGATGAAATTTGCTAGAGTAAAAGATTCATCCTTATCTCTGTATATTTCTTTGACTGCATTCTAGGATTTTAAAACCAATGAAATTTAATAATTTAATACATATATTGTGAAAATATTCTACGCGTTCAAACTTACAATGATATTCGAAAAATCATCTTCTCTGGCTCTTTTACTTAATGGAAAGTAGAATTGCGGAATCTAGAATAAAAACTATTATCGTATATCGCAATTTTGAAACATATCATGAGGTCTACAATATGGAACTTACTTTTGTTAAATTCTTTCCACCATTCACATGCTGTGATTGATCATTTTTCTCGTTCTCTTCATTACTTTCCTTTACAGGTCCATTTTCTTCTTCATATGAATTAATAAAATCCAAAAAACCTTAATTCGTATGTTGGTATTCACATGATACTCATTACAGCATACGTACCAGTTTTTAGGTGATTTTGATTTTCGTGTCTTTCTGATCCCATATTACAACCAACCCCAACATTTGCTGTAGCTGTAGTATTGCATCGTTCCAGATGATGTTCAACTGTTGCTGGGAATTTCTCGATAACATTATTATTAGTGGTAGCAGTATTGTTATTGTTATTAAAACTCATTTGCTCGACTTTTTCTTCTTCAATCGTAGTAGTAAAATCATTAATGTTAATATTAGGATGATGATTTGATTGGAAGCTAACAGACGTTGGGACTTCATCCGGGATCTCTCCATTATGATTCATAATCTCATGTTCGAGTATCGCTATTGGATGCGTTACTCCGTCACCAGCAAACGAAATACCAAGACCCCCGATTGCACGTCCAGATTGAACAGGCGGTATTTCTTATAGTAAATGAAATAATAATCTTAACGATCGCTATGAGAAAAATAAATACAAAACTGTTATTTCCTACCATCTTTTTCTTCTACGCAATTGCTCTCAAAGGGATCTTGAGGTGGCAATGTTGACGACGACGACGACTCAAAATCTTTGATCGTCTGTATACACACATTATCACGGCTTTGATATTGCGTCGTTGTATCTTCTTCCGTTGGAGTATTTAGAGTAGGATGTTGTGGCAGCATAAATTTAGAGTTATTCGTTGGCATATGAAATTTTAGCAGATATGATTGATCTTTATTGTATTGATTCCCTTGAAATGGAGAAACGGAAAGACGCTCGTTTCTTTGTTTTTTTATCGTAATTCATGTTTAAACAAAAAATTTATGAGCTTTTGAAACGCGCGTTTCGTTATGCACAATATACTTACCGTTACTATTTTAGTTTACTTTTTTGTTACTGTATTACAAATACCACGTATCCAAATTAGAAATATTGAATATTTTGTGTGCGGTGTCTTTTTTTGATATTATTCACAAGAAAAAGTAGGTAGGGACAAAAAACGCAGCAGGAAAAGATTTGTTATCTTCATTATAATCATTATAATATATTGTTACATATTAATATAACGTTTTATTATTCATGCAAAAATTTTTATCGCATGATGATTGATTGCTGCGACGATTGCAAAAATTTTATTCAAAAGATTAGCTTATTAGCTTTATTTAGGTTGAATAGGTTGAATTGGTTGAATTACTAATGTATGTCGTCATTATTAATAATACAATAGCAATAGAGATAATATTTTTAATATATGATTCTTCACTTGATGTGGCAGTATATTATTGTAAATTATAGGGGATTAAAAATAAATACGTCATCGATCCATAAAATAAAGCATTATTTAATTGATATTTCCGACCCAAATTTCAAAATCCCAAATATGGGTTTACCCCTGATATAAGCCACAAGCCACCGATTCATGTGATTTTTAAGGGGTAAAAAAACCAATCAAATCGTAGGAAACAATGTGTAATGGAAAAATTCATAAAAAATGTTTAATTTTTTGAAATTTTGCCCTATGAAATAAATTATTTTTGTGTTCTAACAAAAAATGTTCCTTGCGAAATTTTACTTTTATTTTTCATAATCGAAGGATTATTAATATTTATGTTCTTATGATTTGATTGGTTTATCAATCAAAATTAATTGTATTAATTATATTAACTTATTAGATATTTAGATAAATCAAATTTATTTAATTAATTTAATTAATTTTAATTATAAACTAAAGAATTTTGAATAAGTTATTCTATATTTTTTCGATTTTGATTTTTAAGTTATTAAAATTTATAAGATATTCAATTATAAAATAATATAATTCTATTTAATTTATCATTTTATAAAAGAATTTTTTAGCTTATTATTTTTTTAAAAATTATAATAATTTAAAAATTTTTTATTAATTAAAAATAATAACTTCTAATTAATTTATTTTAATATTATATTAAATATCATATATTATCTTTTACTTGGACTTTATTTTCTTTTATATTTAGTTTTATTTTTTTATTTTAACTTTTTTTTGATTTTTGATTTTTGATATTGTTTTGAGAATAAAAGATCTCTACTATAAATAAGCTATACTTTTTATTTTATTTCTTTTATTATTTTTTGAGAGTAGATGACCTCTATTATAAATAA